AGACGAAACGCGCTCTTTCACGGCGGTCATTTACTTCGGAGCGGTTCAGTTTGGGCTTTTACGAACATCCGTACTTAACCTCTCCATCTACCGCCCTCTCGTCTTCTGCCCTCGGCGTTCCGCTCGATCCCCTGCCTATTTTCTCAGAAGTCAGTCCCCGTGAGTCCAGCCCCGTCAGCTTTCCAAGCCTGTTTCTTCTGCCAGCTAGACTTTCTCCAAGTTTCTCGTCCTTCGCAGCCAGAGTCGATGCGCTGCCCGTTCCGTCTCTTCTATGAATTCTCGTGCAGAAGAACCGGCGACCATCCCAGGCGTTTCTATTACGGATCACGCGATTTGTTCACTCCTTCGACCGCAGACCAGATCGGGGCAGCCTTTGACAGAGGGAGAAGGGCAAAGCTGGGTTTCTGGGAGCGGCGGCGGATCCGCTCAGGGGGCGGACCGAGATCTGATGGTCACTGAGAAGGAGCGGGCAAAGTTTTAGCGGTGAAAGGCAGAAACACGGCCTCACAAGACACGTATACATGCATTCGCGGTTACGCTCGAGATGAGAAAGCGCTTTCAGAGAATGACCCCTACCCCCTCCCAACTCTTCGGAAACTGTTATAAAACGCAGGGAACTGATCCGGCTATTTTAGTTGCTGCTCTAGAGCAAGATACTAGCGATCTCCTGGCCAGAGTGACTCCCTCTCCGGCCTGGGGGGAAAAAATGGCCGAGAGGAGTCGAGCAAGGCAAATCAAGGTCAATTTCTGGTCTCTTTCAGGAGCTTCCAACGGCTTCTCCGAATGCCCTCCCCCCTCCCCAAAAGCTCAGGATTTAGTTCTCTCCCTGTTCCAGGTCTATAATCTCCAAACTATTTTCCTTTTCCTCTTCCCATTCACTGTCTAGGAATGGCATTTCTGTTTCAAGGAAACATGTGTGATTTATCCAAACTGCTCACAGTGGCTAGCCCGTGGTAAGGACCGCATCTCAGTCTGGAAATGCCCTATCCCCAAGAAAGAAACAGGACCGGAAAAAAAGGGGGGGGTCTCTTAGTAACTTCACACAACTGTCAGATTCTTCTTCTTTTGAGAGACCCCTTCCTTGTCTTTCTCTTACTTCCACTGCCATCAAAAAAACATATTTTAAAATATATTTTTAAGTAAAAATTCAAAGTAGTGAGAATCTACTGTGCTCCCATGGGAGGGAGGGAAGGAAGGAAGGAAGGAAGGAAGGAAGGAAGGAAGGAAGGAAGGAAGGAAGGAAGGAAGGAAGGAGATAGAAAATCCTCAAGACTTTAGACCAAATTTGCCCAGTCTTTGTTGGACTACAGTGCCCATAACCTCCAGTCAACATAACCAGGCATCAAATGAGAGAATGTCATATTAAACTTTTTAAATAATGGGGAGGTGGGGGAGAGAGACAAATTACTTCTCTCTTCAGTAAACATCTGCCTGCACAAAAATGGGCAGTGTGGTCTATGCACTTTAAAAATTAAGTAAGATAATGGACAAAGATTTCATTTTCACTTACTTTTCCTCTCTTCCCTTTGTCCATTAGCATCGTTTTTGTTATATGCTATCTTTTTTCTCAGTTCTGAAAGTTCAGTTTCCAAAAGAACAGCCAATCAGAAATGTAATATTCCTGTTTAACCCACTTAAGTGCAGACAAGCTATATCTGCAAAAGTCGCTGGAAAACAACAACCAACTTCAGTTCCACTTCCTCTTCTACTAGCTAGTAGCTCGCTTGCCTTAAAAGTACAGTGTTTCTCAACATTATACACAGAAAATGTAATTAGCTAATCACATCCATCAGCTATTTATAATTAAAAGTTGAGATATTTCTCATTTAAAGCATTTTCTTTAAAGATACAACTGTACAGAAATCCCTTCTGAAATGACAGATCCTGGAATAAAGTTGAAAATTCAGTAAATAAGGAAGTCACATTCTATCATGAATATTAAGTGGTTTTCCCGGGGTTGTTACAGTACAATACTGCGGTTTAAATCTTTGGGAACTGTCCAGGTACTGAAATCCAGAAAGCTGACGTTGGAAAGTCGGAGGGAAAAGGAATAGAATTTCAAATGTCTGCTATGTAAGAGTGAGAAAAATTCGGATCCAGGATCACATCCCAAAAGAGAGAGAAAGAGGGAAGCAGAAGGGGAGAATGAACAATGGTAGAATTTTTCAAAGTCCTCTTAAAATAAAATGTTATTCTGTATACTTTCCAGGCTTTGAGAAAAATCTCCTCCTAATGTCTAGTAAGAGAAAATTAATACGTTTTCCTTATTAAGTGCAAACTGAAAGAAAATAAATGATCCATACTATAGGTCTAATTTAATTGCTGGTAGGGAATACCAAAAATATTGTTACACTATAGGAATTGTATATATAAAAGAAAAGCAGACATCCATAATAAAATACAACAGATTCCATTAACCAGGATTGTGAGGGAGGAAATCATTTAAAAAATCTTACCTGAATGTATTGTTAAAGTGCAAGAAAAATACCCCCCCCCCCTCCAAGAGCTTTTCTTCAAAATCCTACTGCAGAGTAGAGGCAGGATGCTGGCAGAATTGCTTTGTGTCCTTTTTATACCATGTTACCCAATTAATATTGCATCAACCTTATTTTAAAATTTCAGAGCCCACAATATAATGTAATGACACAGGGGCATTTATTATTAAAGGATATTTGATTGGGGGGAATCAATGGGGCTCTTTGAAAAAATCAAGTGAAACAAGAACATTTGAGGAAGATTAGTGCTTAAGAGCTTCATGAGCAAATTATAATTACTTGATAAAGTCCGTTTTTAAAAAGTAGATAAAATCTAGTTGAAATTTTATTGCCTGCTATTTACTAAATGCAAAAGCGTGGTATTAGATCACTGGGCCTTGATCATTAATTTTTAATTGTTTAAGGTGCTTCTGGGATTCATAAGCAAAAGCCCTTTTTTGCTTTTAAACAGAATTCCAAATGAGCCTTTGAATGCTCTATTTTGAATTTTTTCTTTCTTCGATGGACTATAAGAGAACAAAGTTCCATTGTTGTAATGATGAGAACTATTGCAGAACAATCAACAGCAGTGTTATTTGCATGGTTATTTTTCTGAAATAGTATGTTTTAACCATAAGGGGGGGAAAAAGATTTTCTTCTCCCTGCAAGATCCAGTAACAAGTTTTGATGTGAGATAGCTGAAAATAACACATTTTTAAAAAATGCAATTCCAGATGTGAATTTTAGTGTTATTTCCGTAATGGTTGATAAAAGTATCTGATTTGATGGCCTCAAACTAGATGTAATACACACCAATTAAATCTAGTTCAAAACTAATTGCAACACATGTATTTTGAGGAATATGTAAATCAACTAAATGAATGGTTTGACTGCTAAATCCAGCAGACTTATTTTTTCTATATTGATTGCTTAATTTTTAGCCTGATCTGAAAAACACCTCCCCCAAACAAAAACAGAGTAACTGTTATGAAAAACTGGGGCATGAAAGAAGAAAAGATCAATTCTGGTCGAAAAATAAAGCATTTTATTTGAGAAGTTTTAGCATTATTTCTGGGAAGAGAGGGAAGGGTGAGTGAAGATAGTAAAGAAGTGCACAAAATGCCCAAATTACAGTCATGAAATATAAAATTTCAGTAGAAGACATTTGACAAGAAAGAAGCCCTTAGTGCAGAAAAAGCTTTTAATTTTTTTAAGGGGTGGAAGAAGGACAACAGGTATTTCTTTTAAACGATTCCTCTCCAAGCTAACATGAGTGCAACCATGCAAGTCCATAATCCTGTTGGAATATTTGGTGATCAGTAAAAAAAAAAAAAAAAGCTAATCTGCAACCATGTCCAGGGAAAGAGCCAGGATTTTAAGAAGAGTAGGTTTACTAAAGTCACACTTCTGCAGTCTCTTAGTTGTGTGGATTGTCCTGGGCACATGCAAGCCTGACTTATTAAAAAGCCATGGAGGTTCTTCCTTTCAACTAGACTGAAATTAATGAATAAGAAGATTAAATCCACCCCACAGAAGTCAGTGGCAACAAGCCTGCTTATGGTTTGGGGGATATTTTAAAACCATTCCCATGGAAATAAATGGTTCCTTTGTGAAAGTGCTTAGGATATGTGTGTCATCCTTTTGGTTATTCTAACAAAACATTTTGATTCAGGAAAAGGCTTATTTCAAATATCCTTCCTTTTCTTCACTCTCCCTCCAAGAAAACAAGTGAGTTTAACTGGAACTCTTCACCTCTGTATTAATAAGAATGTTCAGATACACAATCCAGCTATTACTTGCATTAAAAATAGTTTTTTTTTCTTTCTTTAAGAAAGCATTGGAGCATTTCTGTTGATTTCAGACAGCATGCAGTTGACCAAACAAGTAAAAGGTGATAAATCAATGCAAATTACCCTAAACTTGAACTCAGTTTATAATTTTTGGAAAATAGTCTCCCAGCTCCCAATATAATCTCAATAAATAAATCTTCATTATCTTATGGGCACCTTCTCCCGCACTGTATAAATGTAAATGTAATTAAGTTAATCTCCAAGCGGCATCTATGGTTATATCTCTTTTCGCCTTAAAAAAAATAGTACCTCTCCAATTTCAACTCTTCCTGCAAAAGTGAAGAACATCAGACAATCTAGTGCACAAAAACACACAGTCAAGAGAATGGCAACCCAGAAGAACAAATGGGTCGAAAGGAGAAGGGGTGGGAATAAACATTTTGTTCTCTTTTCGTTGTTGGGTCAGTCGGATTTGCAGAGATGCGTAACAGAAGGCTGGGAAAAACTTGATCCAGCGGCGGATGGCCAGCAGAAAGAACGGGAGAGGTATTTCAGCTCAGTGGCTTAGTTACTTGGTCTGACAGTCCTTTCAGAGGTCTCTGTTAGCAGTTCGTTGGTTTTTGTTTTAACCTTTTAGTAGGGCAGTGTTTCTGTCTGAGGGTGTGCGTGTGCGTGTGTGCTAGGCATAGGTCTCGTTATCCGAGAGGGCGGGCGGCCGGCCGGCCGAGCAGGTGCCTCAATGCACCGCTGAGTACTTCATGCGCTTCTGCTTCTGTCTCTGGTTGCAGAACCAGACCCTCACCACGTTTTTTTTCAGGTCCAGCTTCTCGGCGATGGCTGCGATCTTTTCGGAAGAGGGTCGCGGCTGGATAGCGAAATAGGCTTCCAGCGAGCGCTTCTCCGGCGCCGCAATTGAGGTCCTCTTGCGCTTCCGCTCGGCGCAGTTGAAGAGTTCGGGCTTGGCGTTCTTCTCCCGGTGGGCGGCTTCCGCCTCCTCCAGCCACGCTTGCAGGACCGGCTTCAGGGCGATCATATTGTTGTGAGAGAGCGTGAGCGACTCGAACCTGCAGATGGTGCTCTGGCTCAGCGAGCCCACGCCGGGGATCTTGAGGTTGGCCAGCGCCGCGCCCACGTCGGCCTGGGTGACGCCGAGCTTGATCCGCCTCTGCTTGAAGCGCTCGGCGAACGCCTCCAGCTCCCGAGGATCCGACTCGACGTCGCTAATGCAGGCCAGCCCGCTGTGGGATACCGAGACCTGCGAGGCTGCGGAAGGAGGCGGCGGGGGCGGCGGCGGG